TTTTCTTTGTTGGGAGGTTTTTGATTACTGATTCTATCTCCTTACTCATTATTAGTCTGTTCAGATTTTCTATTTTTAAATGTTAGAATTCACTAGGGAAACCATCTAGTCCAGGATTTTTCTTTGTTGGGAGGTTTTTGATTACTGATTCTATCTCCTTACTCATTATTAGTCTGTTCAGATTTTCTATTTCTTCATGATTTAGCTGGTGGGTTATATGTTTCTAGGAATGTATCAATTTTTTCTAGGTTGTCCAATTTATTGGTGTATAATTGTTTGTAGTAGTTTCATTTTCCTTTGTATTTGTGGTGTTACTTGTAATGCATCCTCTTTCATTTCTGATCTTATTTTTTCTTGGTCTAGCTAAAGATTTGTCCATTTTGTTCATCTTTTTAATGAACCAACTCTTAGTTTTGTTAATCTTTTCTATTTTCTTATCTTTTATTTCTGCTCTAATACTTAGTATTTATTTCTTCTACTAACTTTGGGCTTGTTTTTCTTTTTTTTCCTTGAAAGTTCACTGCTATAAACTTCCCTCTTAGAACTGCTTTTCCTGCATCCCATTGTTTTTCTTATGTTGTGTTTCTATTTTTTTATGTCTCAAGATTTTTTTTTTTTTTTAATTTTCCTTTTGCTTTCTTCTTTGGTCCATTGTCGATCAGAGGTATGTTATTTAACTCCCATGTACGAGAATTTTTCAGCTTTCCTCCCATTTTTGATTTCTCATTTCATACCACTGTGGTTGTAAAAGGTAGTTGATATATTTGTTTCCTTGAATTTGTTGAGACTTGTGGCCTGCCATATGATCTGGTCCCTTTGGTCTATAATGTTATTTAAGTCTGCTGTTTCCTGATTGATTCTCTGTTTATATGACCTATCAATCACTAACAGTGGATATTAAAATCCCCAACTATTATTGTATTGCTGTTTATTTCTCCTTTTAGTTGTGTTAGCATCTGCTTTATGTATTTACATGTTTCAATGTTGGGTGAATAAATATTTACAATTAAATGACCTTCTTTGTCTCTTGTGACCATTTTTAGCTTAAAGTCTATCTTGTCTGATAACAAGTATAGCTATCCATACTTTCTTTTGGTTACCATTTGCTTGAAATATCTGTTTCTATCTCTTCACTTCATTTTATATGTGTCCTTAAAGTAAGTTTTTTTGTAGACAATATGTCATTTGGATCCTGTTTTTTATCCATTCAGCCATTCTGTGTTTTTTAATTGGTGAATTTAATCCATTTACATTAAAAAATAATTATTGATAGGTAAGCCATTCTGTTCTATTGAATTCTGCAGTTGTATTTTTAGCTCTAAGATTTCTGATTTTGATGGTTTCTCTTTCTTTGTTGCGCTTCTCATTTTGTTCATAGCATTGTTTTCCTAATTTCATTTAGCTGTCTGTGTTTTCTTAAAGTTTACTACGGTTCTTTAAGAGGATTATTCTGAATTCTTTTTCAGGCAATCTATAGATCTCTGTTTTGTTAGGGTCACTTTTGAAGCTTTATAGTTTCCTTTGGTGGTGTCATGTTTACCTGTTTCTTCATGATTCTTGATTCTTTGCATTGGTGTCTCTGCATTTGCTTAAGCAGTCTCCTCTTTCAGACTTTACATGTTCACTTTAGCAGGGAAAGACCTTCACCAGTCACTATAGCTCAGGGGTACTGGACAGGTCATCTGGTAGCCTCTGTGGGAAGGCAGGGCTTGCTATTGGGGTTTCTAGTTGGGTGAGGCCATTGTCCATGTTCTGAGGTTGGGGGGATGCTGCTGGCTGGGCTCCACAGTTGGGTGGGCCTGTTGACTGGGCTCCATGTTCAAGCAGGATCAGTGGGCAACCATCTCTTTGTTTGGGTGGGGCTGTTGATTGTGCTCTGAAATCAGGTGGGGACACTAGCTGGGCTCTGCAATCACCTCTGGTTGGTCAAAGTCCCAGGCTGTGTTCCCTGGCATGGTGGCACCACTGGTTGAACTCCTTGATTGGACAGGGCTACAGGCTGGGCTCCACAATCACCCCTCATTGTATGGGGCCTTGGATTGTGCTCCACAACCAGATGGTGCCACTGGCTGAAGTCTGTGTTTACAAAGGGCCCACAGTTTGTGCCCTGAAGTTGAATGGGGCTGCATGCTCATCTTCCTGATCATGTAATCCATGGGCTGTGCTCACCTGGTAGGCAAGGTCATTGGCTAGACTTCCTTGTTTGGTGGGGTCACAGGCAATGCTCCTTGATTGGGTGGGGTTACTGGCTTGGTTTCTCGCCTTGGCAAGGCTACAGGCTATGTTCAACAATTGGGCAGGGCCAGTAGTCTGGGCTCCTCTGCTTATCAGGGTTGTAGGCTGAGCTCCATGACTGGATGGGATTGTAGGCTGGGCTGTGTCTCACAGTGCAATAGGCTGGCTGTGCCCCCACGTTTCCCAGGTCACTGCTCAGGCTCCTTGGTTATGTGGGGCCAGAGGCTATGCTGAACTGTTGGGCATGGCTGCTGGCTTTACTCCCTGACTGAGCCAGGGCTATAGGATGAGCTCTGTGGCTGCTGTAGTTCTCTGGCTGGGCCTCCTGGATGGGCCGAGCTGGAGGCTTTGCTCAGCACTAGGGTGCGGCTGGGAATTTGCTTCCCTTCTTGGGCAGGGTGGTAGAACAGGCTCCCCTACCAGTATGGCCCATTGACTGGGGATCCAAATCATACAAAACTGCCAACCAAGTTCCCTAGCCAGAGGGGACCACTGGCTCAACTCTGCAGGTGGCCAGAGGTGCTGGCTGGGATCTCTGCTCAGCAGTGTTGCTGCAAGCAGGAATGCCATCTGCCAAGACCTGCTGTAAGCTCTACCCCCTTCTCCATCTCTAGCTGATCCCCAGTGGTCAAGCCCTGCAGATTCTTCCACTGACCCCTATGAGGCAAGATATGAGTGGGCTTCCTGCAAAGGGGTCCCATGTGCTGAAGGAGCTAGGTGTCTGCCTTGGGCTCTCTCTTCCCACTGTAGAAACCATAGTCCCTGGGCAGAGGTGGTGGGGGGAAGCCCTCTCAATGTGGCACTGTAGGGGATGGGCAATGGGGTCAGAGTGTGTCCCGTCCTCTTACCCTTCTAATGTCGGATTTTCACAGTGATGTTTTTTTCTATGGATAGTTGCCAGTTGGTCTTCTCGTGAGGGGGACTATAGTTGGGAATGACCTATATGGCCATCTTGATGATATCATTCTCCCCTATATGCTTAACTTCAAGTAGGTTATACATTCCTTAATGGATGGATAGATTATGTCTTATAATTTTGCCTCTGGTGCTTAGCTCCATGTTGGGAATGTGGCAGGTGAGTAATAAATGTGTGGTAATTCTATGATTGAACTCTGTAAGAAAATGAAGCATTATGGTATGAATTAGCTTCTGTGTATGTATTTTCATCTTTTAAAAACAGAATTGCTATTCCTCCATGCATACCTACATTTGGATTATGTGGTTTTTTCCCTAAAAATTTCTGTTGTCAGTAATTCATGGTTATTGATTCATACTGTTTATTGGTAATAGCTCTGTGGGCTGCTTTGCTTCAGGGATAATTTAATTAGGGGTACTGCTATTTGACACCATTCAGGAAAATGTTACACTGTAAAGGGTATATTGGATTTGTCACAACAACACTGAAGAGAAGCCAGGAATAGGCAAACTAATAACATGCCACTTGCTTATTAAAATTGGGCCTTTTGGCATTTTTGTCCAACATTTTTTGTTTATATCACTGCCTTCCTAAGAAACAAGCGGGTGACCAGTTTGATGACTTTTATTTGGCAAGGGCAGAAACTAATGCTGGGTAAACAAGGACATAGTAAGTTGATACAGATGGAGTCCATGCTTTCAGAATGCTGTTTCTGTTCTTTGAAGTTAGATACCTATTTGTGATGAAGAATACATTTGTGTAAGGGGGCAAGATTGGAATGCACTAAAGTGAAATGGCTCATGTTGACCACATCAGCTTTAATGGAACTTACTTGATATACTCACAATCTGACTGTGTATGTGCTGTGTTTTATACAGGGAATCATCATCCAGGGACCTGCCAGAGACCACAAGAAAACATGGGGAGGAGTAAGTGTCTCTTTGCTTTTTAATAATTCATACTTTCTCCATATTAATCTGTGTATCCAGGAAATTAAATTTGCAACTCAGAGTTTTTTTTTTGTGGACATCTAACTTGTATTTCTGATTAGTGTTAGAAAGTTTTTGTCTGAAGCAGGGCAGTGCAGGGAAAGACCATCAGACCACATGCTGCTCATTGGCTAGGGTCTTTTGTTTTCCTTCCTTCTGCTCTTTTCTGAACATCTCCCAGTATAGGGAGAGAAGGCTCCCTATATATAGACCTGTCCTAATCCCAGCTTCTTGACAACTCTTAGCAAAGTTACCCATATGCTTCCAATGGTTTCAAAGCCTTGTTGATAATGACATTAAGAAACAGACAAACAAAAAAGATATTGCTATGCAGCTAGTGACAGTATTAAAAAAGTCATCTGTGAGGTTGATTTATTAATGGTTTTGATTTCCCCTAAAATGTTAAAGCCTGGCATTAAGAACCATTAGATGAATTCCTTTTATTTTTCCTTTCTCATGAGGCTATTTATGAGCAGTAGACAGTAGACAAATTCAAGGTCATTTTGTTGTTAATATTAACTAGCCACCAGTGACTCCATAAATAATTCTAATCAACATAGACCATAAAACCAGATGCATAAAGGACCTCAGAGGGAGACTTGGTGTTGTGTAGTATAATGAGAAGAGTATTGGTCATGGAGTTAGAGGCCTGAATTCAAATTCTACTTCTACTGCCTTGATCATATCCTAGAGTTCCCCTACATTTGCTTGTCCATCTCTCAAGTGGGATTTATATATTCTGCACTTCTAGCCACGGAAAGTTGTGGTTGGCATAAGGTAATGATACATATAAAAGTGTGTGAAGAACTCTAAAGTATAGGGGCGCCTGGGTGGCTCAGTCGTTAAGCATCTGCCTTCAGCTCAGGTCATGATCCCAGGGTCCTGGGATCGAGCCCCGCATCGGGCTCCCTGCTCCGCGGGAAGCCTGCTTCTCCCTCTCCCAGTCCTCCTGCTTCTGTTCCCTCTCTCACTGTGTCTCTCTCTGTCAAATAAATAAATAAAATCTTAAAAAAAAAAAAACTCTAAAGTATATAAAAGAGAGCAGTGGAATCTGCTCATTGCTGTCCTTATTGAATAAGTATATTTTCATTGGTGCTGCCTTTTTTTAAAAGATTTATTTATTTTAGAGAAAGAGAGTGCGCGCATGAGCAGGAGGAGGGAGGGGTAGAGGGAGAAGGAGAGAGAATCCTAAGCAGACTGCGCTGAGAGCAGATCTTGATGCAGGGCTCAATCCGTGACCCTGAGATCACAACCTGAGCCGAAATCAAGAGCCGGCTGCTTAACTGATTGAGCTACCCAGGCACCCCCACTGGTTCTTTTAACAGTTAAAATGAAGTTATATGATCAGATGCTTATGTAGGCAACAGGGCTGGGATCAGGGTTGTGCAAGGGACAAAGAGTGCCTCCTTATATTTTGTGCTCTAGGCACTTTGCTTGCCACATCTTAGTATGGGCCCAGGTTGGCAGCCCCAGGGATTATGGATCAATCATGAAAAATTTCTTCCTGAACCTTGTTGAGTCAGATTTTGCCTGTTTTCTCCAGTGATTTCCTGGGGGACTGATTAGCCCCCGGGATTCTGGTTCTTTCCCAACCTCCACAAAATATATCAATCTCCTGATATTTTAGAAATGTAAAAGACATGAGTAAATTTGAAAAGAACTGGTGAAAGTTCTGGGACTAATCCACGCCATGTCCTAACTCCAAGTCAGCTATCAACAGAAGTGTCCAGAGTAACTCACTGTGGCTTGGTCCTCACCTAATCTCAAGCTTCAGGTGGATTTGGAGAATGTTTGGATTGTTGGATTTCATCATGACCACACAGAGAAGCTACACTGAGGCAGAGCAACACATTCCTTATTGTTTCCTCTCTTCCTTTTCAGAATGATCATCAGGTCATTAGCAAGGAGATCATTAGGAGCTTACTTTAAAAGGTGCTTCAGCAAGTCTTTGTTTAAATGGTCAGGCAACTAAAAGGAGTTCTTGTAAAGGATAGGACATGGTAATGTTATCTGCAAGGATGGGCATATTTCCATTCTGGAGATTAGATAAGGGAAGTGCTCCAAAAAATGCTACTTAACAAACACATGGAAGCTTATAATAGCATTTTGACTGTTTGTGTTGACCACTTTAAAAGCATCCTTCACATCCTGAATCTCAAAGACTCTATCCTTTTCTCCCTAAGCTTTACTTAGCTTGCATGATTTCACTTGCTAATTGCAGTCACTGTTAGTGGGGGAAAAAAGATGCTACTATGTGGTAATTTTTTTCTCTTCTGGCAACATACAATGAAGTTTTTTACTGGATTTGGCAAAGATTCTCACAAACATAGCTCAGTGTGTCATACAAAGGGACAGCAGAGGAAAATATCACAAAGACATGGCACTAGCCTCATTAATGAGGAGGCCAGAAAACAAAGAACACAGCTGGAAAACCATATGGTGTAGGTGAAAAATTAAAATTAATATTGGCGTGAATTTCTTTTAGTATTTTTTGGTACTGGATGAAGAAATTATCTATTAAAATGTGTTAGATGAATCATTCTTTTATGTAACATGAAAAAAAGTGTGAGCCAAGTCTTAAAAATGGTGGTGGGAGGATGAGAATACGCTTGTGTATTTAATTTTTTATTAGACCACCATCAGTGTCCATTTTATGTGTCATTGAAATCCCATTTACTACATATATATGAATTCTGAACTAGAGCTTTATATTTAGGACTTTAAGAATATATAGCTATTTTGATATCAACAAGTGTCTGTAGAGCACTTCATAACTCACAAATATTTCTCGTGCATTATTTGAGTTGTAAGAGAACTCTATGATGTAAATAGGGATATTATCTTTATTTTATATATTACAAAACTGAAGGTAATGAGAGAAAGTCTTATCTAAATTCCACAGCCTATAAAATGGAGAGCCATAATGCAAACCTAGGTTTCCTTATGTCCTATGCAGTTTTTCTTTTCTTCCAATAGACCATGTTCTGAATACCTTAGTCATTAGTAGTATATAAAGTCAATTAAAAACTTAGGAGCTATCTGTTGATTTGATAGGTAGGGAAGAAAATGTTTTCTCAGATCTACAAGGATGTTCATATATTCCATGGGGGACTGGACAGATGGGCAAAGAGAATTGGCTCACTCTTCATCACCATTTATGATAACAGCTAAAACACATGTATTAGATAGTGGAGTGCCTCAAATATCAAAGTCTTCTGAGCAAAATTAATGAAGCAATGAACCCATAGTGCCAGGTGCCTAAAGTAAGGGGTCTAAAATACCACTTACCTGGTGAAAGCCACCATTCCTGTTCAATAGGTTTTTGCCTTGGTGGTTTTTCTTAACAGGAAGAATATAATACATTATGGAACACCAGAATAGTAGGAGACAACAAAGGGAGATGCTGTTACAAAAAGGAACAGCATGTATAAATAAAATCATGTATAAGATTTCACTGGAGAATGAACATTTTCACAAAGAAGAAAATGTGAGGATTTTATAATGTGTATGTATAGGCTCACAAAATGTTATGTATATAATGCTAGAGTATTTATCTTCATCATCTTCAGATGGAAATTAAAACTTTATTCTATGTTTTCATCCCCTCACTCCCTGAGCAACTGGTATATTAATGACAAAAGTCTCGATACTCCACAAAACAATTCCTTGGGATTTTTCTTGCTAAAAATTTTGGAAGTTGTTTTGTTACAATGTGGTGTTTTGTTTTGTTTTTTTAGATTTATTTGAGAGAGAGAGAGTGTGAGAGAGAGCACAGGGTGGGGAGGGGCAGAGGGAGAAGGGAGAGAGAATCCAAGCAGACGCCCTTCTGAGTGCAGAGCCCAATGCAGGGCTCAGTCCCACAACCCTGAGATCATGACCTGAGCCAAAATCAAGAGTTGGTCACCCAACCAACTGAGCTACTCAAGCACCCCTGTTTTGTTACGAGTAGATTTTGATTTTTAAGTCATACTTACTTTCCATGTGAATTTTTTTTATATCAGAACACACTTCTCTTACTGCATGTTCTAAGTGCTAGAGCAGCAATTCATGGTTTTTATCAGCCTAATATACAGTTATGGATTGTGAATTCCACTGTCTTTACCTTAAGAACAGAGCTTCTGGAAGAAATTCATTATGTTGGCTCAATAATAGCCACAAGATGCTGCTACACCTGTTTTACAAAATGGGAATAATATTTAGCGATGAATCTTCGAAAGGATTAATTTTGCTTCATTGTATAGAAAACAGTATTGGGAATAGCTGAATGATGGCAAGCAGAGAGGGCTTATTTGTGGAGAATAATTAAAATAATATAGCTTAGCATTTTTTGTTTTTCCTCTTCCCTTATTTAGTCTTTAGAAATTTACCTAGCCTAGAAGAAAATCCTGGGTCTCTAAGATCTAAGTCTGAAAAATGAGTTTCTATCTTCATTTTCTATACCTAATGGTAACTTAATGCCCTTGATGTTCTCGTATCCATGAACATATAAAAAAACAGCGGCCGTGTGCCAGTTACAGTCTTTGTTTTTTATTAAAACGTAGCAGCATAATTTCTTTGGGTCACTGGATGTACTTGGCTCCTTTAGCCCAAGAAACGCAAACATGTTACCCCACTTATCAAGACTTAGTGGAAGGAAAGATGGTTTAGAGCTACCACAGTAAATCTCTAAGCTCTTTGATTCAATGCTGAACTACTGCTCAGTTGAGGCCAATCCTAAACTTTAACTCTGAGCATACAGCTCTGTTTTTTCAAACAGGGAATGAACATTCAAACTGACAAGCATTGTAAAGTGACTTTCTTTTAATGTAATATCTAATTTTATTTGACAGCTCCCTGGTTTATAGTTCAAGTAAAGGCACACATTTAAAGCCAATTAATTATTTCATTTTCTGGCCTGTATTAAATTTCAGAGTTTCTTTATTACAGTAGCATATTCATGC